TCAAGTCCTGCTCTCTCTCTCTCTCTCTCTCTCTCTCTCTCTCTCTCTCTCTCTCTCTCTCTCTCAATATTTATGTAGATTGAGTGGAGTGTTCCAGAAGAAAAGAGGAAATCTTGTGTTGCTAAGGGAAAAACAGAGGTAAACTCATATGGTGTATGCTGTGTGTGCTTGAGGTGGAGGGATGTAAAGAGCCCAATAGCAAGCAAACAAGAAATTTTAACCTTTTTGAATGGTTGGAAAAAATTCTAATTGCAAAATCCACCATTTTCCTGCTTTGTTTATTTTTAAAAATATTTTTAAAGGTGCCATTAGCACTTTTGGACCAATATGACAGTAGTCACAACTTCACTGTCACTCAGCAGCATGGATGCAGCATCATGCAAAACCAAATATTTTCAGTGACGGATGCCACTGTAGAAATGCACTATTCACAATAAGCAATTAATCATTTATTCTGTGAGTAAAAGTGTCCAATAACTGTTTTTCTAAATTAAAATTGCTTAATGTTTAAACCTTGCCACCAAAGGGTATATAACAAAGTATTGAGATTAAATTTTGTTATTGACCCAATACTTATTTTCCACCATAATTTGCAAATAAATTCTTTAAAAATCCTACAATGTGATTTTCTGGATTTTTTTTTCTCATTTTGTCTCTCATAGTTGAGGTATACCTATGATGAAAATTACAGGCCTCTCTCATCTTTTTAAGTGGGAGAACTTGCACAATTGGTGGCTGACTAAATACTTTTTTCCCCCACTGTATATATATATTCGCTTTAGTATAGTTCCGTGTGTGCATGTCATTCTCTCATTTGAGACTGCCACATGCGACGAGTGTGTGTGCTACATTGTTGGGGGGTGGGGCCTGTGGCTGATTGACAAGTGGGCTGAGGCCCCAGTGGGGGAGGGTCAGAAAGGGTGTGATTAGGCAAACAAAAGGTATGTATAGAAGAATAGAGGAGCAGAAACGAAAAAGATAGATCTGAAGGAGTGAGCTAATTGACTCTGGAGACCTGTGACTGGTCATTTAAATACACATTTTGTTTTTTTCACTCTAGCACATTCACATTTGATTAAAACACATGGAAAACTGAATCGATACGGGCTGGTCTCTCATTAATTTTTATTGATGTACTTAATGGTCTGTCTAGTCTTGAAATTGAAACTTTTTAAGTAAAGCCAACTGGATTTAATAAAAATTAGATCCTGGCATATGTGATTGTCAGGATGCATTTGTGAACGAAAACATCTTGTGTGCCTTATCATTTATATTGTGAAATGCCAATCATTAACGATTAACTGTGCCCTTTGAAGGATATGGGGGAGGTCTCACTGTAGAAAATGCCTGGGGGGTCTCAGATACAGCCCATTGGGGTTCAGGTTACCAATCATTGTTATTGATACAGAAACTCTCTTGTTCTTCTCAGCAATGGTTTCAGAGTCACCCTTGACACATTCACATAAGTCAGGGGTGTCCAATTCTGGTTCTGGAGGGCCAATATCCTGCACAGTTTAGCTCCAATGTGTCCCACCGTACCTTGCTGGAAGATAGTAATCCTGAAGACCTTGATTACTTTCAGGTGTATTTAATTGGACAGTGGACCTACAGGATCAGGATTGGACACCACTGACATAAGTTGTGAAAAGTATCAGTGCTCTTAAAGCCCGGGATACACTGCACGATTTTTGGCTGTTCCAGACGAAAGATTGCAATCGTGGCGATTTCTGTGATCATGACTCTTAATCGCTGGTCCTATGTCGTACAGTGAGACAGGTTCAAAGACGGGCGTTTTCCCGTTCTTGCGACCAAAGATAGCCTACGATAGTTTTCTGGCAGTGTCAGAAATTCAGCATGATCATCGCACAGTGTGTTTACAGTTACAAAATGCGACATGAAATCAACGCGATATGGCGCTAAAACATAAAACTGCTTACCTCAAGCTCTTATTCCTTCCTCTTTCGCCGCTCCCACTTTTTTTCAGCACACATAAAAACTACAACTATCAAAGTGTGATTCATTATGCTCCTTTTGTTTACCACTAGCGCATGCTAATGATGTTTTATTCTTCTATAGAAACGTGCGTCGTAGCCTACGAGTCAATAGGTGTCATCATCGTACAGTCTACATGCATGTCGTACCCAAGTTTATTAGATCCATGTCGCACAGTGTGACCAGCAATGATCTTATAGGATTGCTAAAATCGTGCAGTGTGTAGAAGGCTTAAGATATAAAACATTCTGAAAAGGCCTAGAATGTTGTTTAATCTTTGGGGAGTCTTATACATTTACACTAATGATTAAAATGAAAGCTGCAAGTGACCTTGACTGTAATTGTAATCTCAATTAATTTGCTTTTACATTTGAAATTTATCTTTGTCTCTTAACTTGTAGCATATAACTTAAAAGCTTTGGAAGTTGATATACTGTACACTCTTAAAAATAAAGGTGCTTCAAAAGGTTCTTCAAGCGATGCCATAGAAGAACCATTTTTGGTTCCACAAAGAACTATTCAGTCAAAGGTTCAGTTCATCTCTTTCTTGTGTTTTTGTAATCTGAAGAACCTTATTTCAGAAAGGTTCTTCAGATGTTAAAGGTTCTTTATGGAACCATTTAGACAAAAAGGTTCTTCTATGGCATCGTGAAGCACCTTTATTTTTAAGAGTGTATATCTGTAAGATTTTTTTGTGTGTTTGAAAGAAGTCTCTCCACGGCAACAATTATTTGATTAACAATACAATAAAACAGTAATACTGTGAAATATTATTGCAATTTAAAATAACTGGTTTTAATTTTAATAATAAAAAAAAAATTTATGTTTTCCTATCATGGCAAAGCTGAATTTTCAGCTGCCATTACCAATGTCTTCAATGTCACATGATCGTTCAGAAACCATTGTAATGCTGGTTTTGGTCAATGTTGAACACATTTGTGCTGCTTAATATTTTCTGAAAACCCAGATAAACAGACATAAATCAGAGAAAACTTGTATATGCTATTTGTCTCACAGTATGCCTTGCTTTACTCTGCTGCCCCTCACAGGACGATTGTAAGAACTACGTCCGTCTGCTGGAGTTTTTGGGCGATGGACACATATATGCCTGTGGGACGTTCGCCTTTGACCCCCAATGTGCATTTATTGTAAGTCTCTGTGTTTCCATAACTACACTGACTCAAGTCTTGTCATATTATTAAGTAGGACAATTAAAAAGAAATGCTCAAAATAAGTACTTTATTACTACTGTAATATAAGTACTTTAAATTCTGTCTGGTGAGTCTCCGTTAACAAACTAAAAAACAACAACAACTTAGATCAACCAACAATAAATAACAAACAGCAACAGTTACAGCAAAATAAAGTGCAATTATGTCATTTGGTGTGTGTGCAAAGTAATGGCGGTCACAGCTCTTGACGAAGCTGTTTCTCAGTCTGTTTGTGTGTGTTTTCATGGTCCTGTATCTCCGCCCTGAGGGTAGGGGGACTAACAGTCTATGACCCGGGTGGGTGGAATCTACGGCAATGTTTCTGGCCTTCTTCTGGAGGTATTCTGCATACACCAAGTCCAGGTCTGGAAGTGAATTCCCAACAATCATTTGCGCGGTTTTAACCACCCGGGCCAAATCCTTTCTGTCCTGTGCTGTGCAGCTGGCATACCACACAGTCACACAGTAGCATGGGATGCTTCCTATGGCACTCCTATAGAAATGTATCAGAAGCCAAGGGGAGAGTCCAGCCTGCTTCAACTTCCTGAGGAAGAAAAGTATTTATTGAGCTTTCTTCATCAGGTGGGAAGTGTTCAGAGCCCAGGTGAGGTCTGGTGTAATGTGGATACCTAGTAACTTCATGTTATCAACACCCTCCACTACTACCCCCTGTATGAGCAGTGGTGCATGTGCTCTTCTTACGGACCTTCTGAAGTCCACAATAACCTCTTTGGTTTTATTGGTGTTCAAAACCAGATTGTTTGCTGAACACCACAGGGCCAAGTGATGGCTCTCCTCTCTGTAGTGGATCTCATCATTGCTGCATGGGCTGGAGCTCTCTCTGGCAGCGGTAGGTCGCAGCGCCACTTCCGGTGGCATCCCCAGATGCCACGGCACACTGGTCGTCTCTGGCAGCTGCCACAGTTTTTCTCACGGTTTTTGCTGTTTGCTCGGTAAAAACTACACTGTTCTCAGTGTGCAGTGGTGTTTTTTTTAAATGATGATGCAAAGTTCCCACAATTGTATTATTATTATTATTATTATTATACATTTTTATGTATCAGCTGCCAGAGTTCTTGCCAGGAGTCACAGGCAGCTGCCAGAGTTCTCTCGTGCAGAAAGTGCAAGATGGACTCATATAGAAGTAATAACTGACGTACCAGGAAATCCCTAATATGGACAAAAGCGTCCAGCTATCACTGTATGATCTGAATAAAAGGCAGAAACCTTTGGAAATGTGAAGACTTTAAACACACGATTTTAACAACATATGGTTAATTTGTGCTTTTTTAAATCATCTCCAGGTAATAAAGTATATGAACAATTCAGTGCTACTAGACATAGCATTTATTACAGTACATAAACTATTCTGCCTTATGTGATAAAAAAAAAAAAAGTGTTTGTAGTACATTAACAAATAATTTATTGGTTATTGTCCAACAGGGTATCTGATTTCTTAGCCAATTAAAAGAAAGAAATAAGAGAAAAAATAAAGTTTTCTGTATTCCTATATAGAGTATATATATATATATATATACACACACACAAACCCGATTCCAAAAAAGTTGGGACACTGTACAAATTGTGAATAAAAACAGAATGCAATGAGTTGGAAATTTCAAATTTCAATATTTTATTCAGAATACAACATAGATGACATATCAAATGTTTAAACTGAGAAAATGTATAATTTTAAGGGGAAAATAAGTTGATTTTAAATTTCATGGCATCAGCACATGTCAAAAAAGTTGGGACAAGGCCATGTTTACCACTGTGTGGCATCCTCTCTTCTTTTTATAACAGTCTGCAAACGTCTGGGGAGTGAGGAGACAAAGTTACTCAAGTTTAGGAATAGGAATGTTGTCCCATTCTTGTCTAATACAGGCTTCTAGTTGCTCAACTGTCTTAGGTCTTCTTTGTCGCATCTTCCTCTTTATGATGCGCCAAATGTTTTCTATGGGTGAAAGATCTGGACTGCAGGCTGGCCATTTCAGTACCCGGATCCTTCTTCTACGCAGCCATGATGTTGTAATTGATGCAGTATGTAGTCTGGCATTGTCATGTTGGAAAATGCAAGGTCTTCCCTGAAAGAGACGACATCTGGATGGGAGCATATGTTGTTCTAGAACTTGGATATACCTTTCAGCATTGATGGTGCCTTTCCAGATGTGCAAGCTGCCCATGCCACACGCACTCATGCAACCCCATACCATCAGAGATGCAGGCTTCTGAACTGAGCACTGATAACAACTTGGGTTGTCCTTGTCCTCTTTAGTCCGGATGACATGGCATCCCAGTTTTCCAAAAAGAACTTCAAATTTTGATTCGTCTGACCACAGAACAGTTTTCCACTTTGCCACAGTCCATTTTAAATGAGCCTTGGCCCAGAGAAAACGCCTGCGCTTCTGGATCATGTTTAGATATGGCTTCTTTTTTGACCTATAGAGTTTTAGCCGGCAACGGCGAATGGCACGGTGGATTGTGTTCACCGACAATGTTTTCTGGAAGTATTCCTGAGCCCATGTTGTGATTTCCATTACAGTAGCATTCCTGTATGTGATGCAGTGCCGTCTAAGGGCCCGAAGATCACGGGCATCCAGTATGGTTTTCCGGCCTTGACCCTTACGCACAGAGATTGTTCCAGATTCTCTGAATCTTTGGATGATATTATGCACTGTAGATGATGATAACTTCAAACTCTTTGCAATTTTTCTCTGAGAAACTCCTTTCTGATATTGCTCCACTATTTTTCGCCGCAGCATTGGGGGAATTGGTGATCCTCTGCCCATCTTGACTTCTGAGAGACACTGCCACTCTGAGAGGCTCTTTTTATACCCAATCATGTTGCCAATTGACCTAATAAGTTGCAAATTGGTCCTCCAGCTGTTCCTTATATGTACATTTAACTTTTTCCGGCCTCTTATTGCTACCTGTCCCAACTTTTTTGGAATGTGTAGCTCTCATGAAATCCAAAATGAGCCAATATTTGGTATGACATTTCAAAATCTCTCACTTTCAACATTTGATATGTTATCTATATTCTATTGTGAATAAAATATAAGTTTATGAGATTTGTAAATTATTCCATTTCTTTTTTACTCACAATTTGTACAGTGTCCCAACTTTTTTGGAATTGGGTTTGTGTGTATATATATATATATATATATATATATACACACATACATACATACATATACACAGTGCTTTGCGAAAGTAAGGGGGACAGAAATGTAATGGATATATACATATATATATATATATATATATATATGGTAGCTGTCTAATTCAGGAGGTATAATGTTCTTACGGGGCAGTCATGGCCTGATGGTTAGAGAGTCGGATTTGTAACCCAAAGACTCTGGTCCGGCAGGAATTGTAGGTGGGGGGAGTGAATGACCAGCGCTCTCTTCCACCCTCAATACCACAACTGAGGTGAGACCCTTGAGTAAGGCACCGAACCGCCAACTGCTCCCCGGGCCCCGCAGCAATATGGCTGCCCATTGCTCCGGGTGTGTGTTCACGGTGTGTGTGTGTGTTCACTGCTGTGTGTGTGCACTTGTGGATGGGTTAAATGCAGAGCACAAATTCCGAGTATGGGTCACCATACTTGGCCACACGTAACTTCACTTCACTTAATGTGCTGCAGAATAAGCCTCTCAAAACATTTCACAATGACAGTGGTCAGAGCCACTGGGAGAAAGTCACTGAGGCAGGTAACAGCTGACGTTTTAGACACAGGTACAGTAATGGATGATTTCAGGCAAACAGGGACAACACTGAGCTGCAGTATGAGATTAAAAATGTCCTGAAACACTTGCAAGTCAGTCTGCACATAATTTCAGTGTCCGACCTGACACCCGGTCCGGCCCCTCAGTCAGAGAGAATTAAGAGAATGAATGATTGACTGTTTTCCACCTGTGGTATATGACTATAAGTGTGTCTCTCTATTATATTTTCTTCTTCATCTAATTTTTGCTCATTTCTTTATATTTAAGGACAGACAATAATCACATTTATCTGTCTTCTCTGCCTCATTTAGAACATCTCTTCATTCTCTCTGGAGAAACATGAAGATGGTAGCATGAAGATGGAGACGGGGAAGGGGAAATGCCCTTTTGAGCCCAGCCAGCATTACACAGCAGTCATGGCAGGTATGAAACACACGTTTACTCTAAATGAGGGTTATACGTCTTGTGACATCTATTGTTTTTGTACATTGTAAAGCTAATTATAAATGCTAACCAAAACCCAAACCCTCACCCTAAAAGAAAATTGCAATTGCTGAATGAAAAAAGTGTTTATAAATAATTTTTCTAGTTTATGATTTGATGTATTCTCTCCCCTAAATTTAAACACACATAAACTTTTCTGTATATTTAGTTCAACATTAAAACATTATTTAGTGCCCTGTCATGTCCCCACTTTGTAACAATAGCTGACACACCTTACACTGACCTTATGTGTCGATTGTTGAGTTGAGTTGCTTTTATGATCTTTACAATTTGTGAGGCCTGGGGGCGGCTTATGTGGTGGTGCAGTAGTCTACCCCTTCTGACTGGAAGTGATCAGTGGACGCAACTGAAGCTGTAGCCTCCCTAATTCACTCTGCCCCTAGGGGCTAGCCTATTGATTTGGTCCGAGGACCATTCTGGTTGCGAGAGTATCCCTACCAGGTAAGTATTGAAGGGCATTTAGCTGCAGAATTTTTGTTCACTACATTTGCCTGAACAGTTGTCTTCCTTCAGATAGTGGAGCTAATAATGTTTTACGTAGGTGCCCTTTTATAGTATGGTGGCGCACCAGTTATATTATATGTTTGCCGTAGCTAATCAAAATGGGCAAAGGTGTTTCCATAGCATCAACACCATGACACAGCATCTCGTTCCCTTCTCAGGGATCTGGGTTATATACATAAGCCTAAGGTGTTTTCTTCTCAAGGGCTATTGGCTGGTCCCCACAATGTAGGTGATTTTAGAGTGCCATCCTTGTGGGAACATTTGGCTCCCAAAATGTTTTAAAGGGGTCATATGATGAGATTTCAATTTTTCCTTTCTCTTTGGAGTGTTACAAGCTCTTGGTGCATAAAGAAGATCTGTAAAGTTGCAAAGACTAAAGTCTCAAATCCAAAGAGATATTCTTTATAAAAGTTCAGAGTCAGCCACACCTACCTAAAACGGCTCGTTCTAACACGCCCCCACATATCTACCTCACTATGTGGGAAGATTTGCATAACGCCGCCGAAATGCTCACGCGCACTGATGATTCAAACGTGAGTTTTGGGCAGTAGAGTAGCACTTGTTGTTTGTCATTTCTCCGATCACAAATGCAGACAGAGTTTTATGTTTACGCGGCGCGATGCAATGCAACGCAACGCGTAAAAATACAGTATAAGTCATTATAATCATTAATTATGTCCCCACTGGATGCAACAAATGCCTCGTTTGTAATGGGTTTTAATGTTTTTGTCTCGTCGCTCCGGCCGGACACGGCATCAACAGTATGGTGAGAGGCGTAACATTTCCATCTCACGCTTGAGATATTCGGCCAATCACAACGCATTGGATAGCTGGCCAATCACAGCCAACCTCGCTTTTTCAGACCGATGAACTTTGTAAAAATCGACGCGTTTCAAAAAGGCGGGTCATAGAGGAGAAACAACAATATACAGTATGTGGAAAATAATGTGTTTTTTTTACTTTAAACCACATAAACACATTTCATTACACCAAATACACAAAATAATGTTATTTTTAGCAGCATCATATGACCCCTTTAACACAAAACACATTGGAAACACAGAAATTACTTTAGTAAAGTAATAATAATAATAAAATTAAATGTCTATTTTTTATTTTTTTCTCTTTTCCTCCCTGTTTCTCTCTTTCAGGAGGGATCCTTTACACTGCTGCCACAAGTAACTTCCTTGGCACAATGTATGACATTTCCAGGGCAACAGGCATCGAGCAGGAACGCATCCGCACTGAACAATCAATCAACTGGCTTAGTGGTAAGACACTCATCCATCCATTCATCCAGACACAGGCATTTACACATTAAAGCCAACATTTAATATATATTTACACCCAGATTGTTTATAACCACACTATTCATAACTCTTGCCTGTTTCTGAACTCAGATCCAGAGTTTGTCAGTTCTGCCTTCATCCAAGAGGATGAGAAACACAATCCTACTGGTGAAGATGACAAAATTTACTTTTTCTTCACTGAAGTAGCTAAAGAATATGACCTTTACACCAAGATTAAAGTGCCACGAGTTGCTAGAGTCTGCAAGGTAGGAACTAGAGCTGGTCTGTTTTCTTGTCTAGTCTCTATAGGTTTTTTATGGTTTGGCTTGGTTTATATTTATTAGTCTAAGAGGGATGTTGTACAGTAGTTCTGCTTTCAGCTGAAATGTTATGTACAGTGGGGAAAAAAAGTATTTAGTCAGCCACCAATTGTGCAAGTTCTCCCACTTAAAAAGATGAGAGAGGCCTGTAATTTTCATTATAGGTATACCTCAACTATGAGAGACAAAATGAGAAAAAAAAATCCAGAAAATCACATTGTAGGATTTTTAAAGAATTTATTTGCAAATTATGGTGGAAAATAAGTATTTGGTCAATAACAAAATTTTATCTCAATACTTTGTTATATACCCTTTGTTGGCAATGACAGAGGTCAAACGTTTTCTGTAAGTCTTCACAAGGTTTTCACACACTGTTGCTGGTATTTTGGCCCATTCCTCCATGCAGATCTCCTCTAGAGCAGTAATGTTTTGGGGCTGTCGCTGGGCAACACGGATTTTCAACTCCCTCCAAAGATTTTCTATGGGGTTGAGATCTGGAGACTGGCTAAGCCACTCCAGGACCTTGAAATGCTTCTTACGAAGCCACTCCTTCGTTGCCCGGGCGGTGTGTTTGGGATCATTGTCATGCTGAAAGACCCAGCCACGTTTCATCTTCAATGCCCTTGCTGATGGAAGGAGGTTTTCACTCAAAATCTCACGATACATGGCCCCATTCATTCGTTCGTTTACACGGACCCATATCGAGGGAGATTATCAGTGGTCTTGTGTGTCTTCCATTTTCTAATAATTGCTCCCACGGTTGATTTCTTCACACCAAGCTGCTTAGCTATTGCAGATTCAGTCTTCCCAGCCTGGTGCAGGTCTACAATTTTGTTTCTGGTGTCCTTTGACAGCTCTTTGGTCTTGGCCATGGTGGAGTTTGGAGTGTGACTGTTTGAGGTTGTGGACAGGTGTCTTTTATACTGATAACGAGTTCAAACAGATGCCATTAATACAGGTAACCAGTGGAGGACAGAGGAGCCTCTTAAAAAGGAAGTTACAGGTCTGTGAGAGCCAGAAATCTTGCTTGTTTGTAGGTGACCAAATACTTATTTTACAGAGGAATTTACCAATTAATTCTTTAAAAATCCTACAATGTGATTTTCTGGATTTTTTTTCTCATTTTGTCTCTCATAGTTGAGGTATACCTATGATGAAAATTACAGGCCTCTCTCATCTTTTTAAGTGGGAGAACTTGCACAATTGGTGGCTGACTAAATACTTTTTTGCCCCACTGTAATTGTACTGTTCCACTTGAGTTCAGATTTCTTCAGTCATAAAGTTCTTCTATTCTTTGCCATCCGTCTGTTTTTCATCATTTATTTTCTATCATATCTGATCTATTTTGGTCTATCTCTCTGTTTTCTAGTCTGATGTAGGTGGTATGAAGACTCTGCAGAGGCGGTGGACGACATTTCTGAAGGCCCAGCTGGTGTGTGAAGATCGAGCAAGTGGACAGCGATTTAACGTTCTGTCTGATGTGTTCACTGTACAGCACCAGCCTGGAGACCCCAGCAGCACACACTTCTATGGCATATTCACCTCACAGTGGTACTTTGTTCTGTTTCACCTCTGACCTGTCTTGACCTTCTGTGCTGGTCTCATCTTTTTTTAATTATTTATTCGCTCTTTATTTCTCCATGATTGTTTTTTTATTTGTGTGTGTTTGTCCTGTTGTGTTGATGTGTAATGTGTAGGGAAAGAGAGGAGCTGTCAGCTGTGTGTGTGTACAGTCTGGAGGAGATAACTAAGGTGATGAATGGACCCTTTAAAGAGCTGAAAAAGACCTGTGAGAACTGGATTAACCCAGAGCCCATACCAACACCCCGACCAGGACAGGTATACAACTGCACACTCACGACCATACCATACCATATAATAGTATTATACAATAGATGCAGTTCATGTGTTATTTACACATAGTACATAGAGACACCTACTGTGCAATACTATTGTAGTCATTGGTACTGACCTTGGCAGTATGAGAATCATTTAGTATTAATGTAAACTGGAGGGAGTTGGTCAACTGATTTATCTGAAAGATTGGTGAGATAATGTGAACTTGTAGAGCCCCTTACTGTATCATCGAGGGATCCAAGTGCAGACAGATTTATTAAAGATAACCACAAGGTCTAAGAACATAAATTAGGGAACACGGAACAGGAGAAAACACAAAAAAATCCAGAGTACATATATGCAATGACTGAAAAACCAACTACAGACAAGCAGGTCTTGTCTAGGATGATGTCTAGTGTTTTAAAATCTATTCAGGTCAAGTACATGTAGTGTATTCCAGCCTATATATTTACATATTTGGCAGAAACTTTTAATCCAAAGTAATTAACACGGTGTGTATATATATATATATATATATATATATATATATATATATATATATATATATATATATATACTGTGTATGCACTGTTTAGGGGAGACAAATTATGGAGTGACAAAAATGAGATAACCAAAATTCCCTCTGTAAAACTTTTGACTCTAATATGTCAAAAAATAAATAAACAAGAATTTTGAAACTGACATCATCCACTGTTTAGATTTTGTACTAGAAATGTATGCAAATTAGCGCATATTTCATTAAATAATGACTCATTTGCATATTTAAGCCTAACATTTTAGAAAACTTTTTATACAAAAAATGTTTGCAATTATCAATGTAATCAATCAGCTGGGTAAGTAAGGCCATAACTATTAGTTTTTGTTTTTTGTTTACCCTATTCACCTGCAGTGTCTCGCCTTATGCATGTACAGTATGTACGTATGTATGCATATTAGTATATGTAGATGTATTAGTATATGTGTTTGCTGGGAAGGCAACCCATGACCTTAGAGTTACTAGCATCATGTTTCACTAACTATCATTACTTAAATCTGTTAAATTACTTCTTTCAAAACTCTCAGTGTTTGAATAGTGCTCTGAAGGAGCTGGGCTTTGAGTCCTCCTTGAAGCTGCCTGATAAAGTGCTGACATTCGTGCGTGATCACCCGCTTATGGAGAACAGTGTGGTGGCAGCACCCCTGATGATCAGAAATGGCATCACATATACTAAACTTGCTGTTACCTTACCAATGGCCTCCAGTGGCCTGAAGCAACACATGACCACTGTTTTGCACCTTGGAACAGGTAAGAGATATTAAACAGAAATAACTAAAAAACAATAATTTAATAATCATCAATAATCATTTAATCATCATGCATGTTTAATATACGTGTGCATGTGTTGATAGATCATGGAGAGCTGCACAAAATCGCTGTAGTTGGTCCGAATGCAACTCTTATTGAAGAAGTCCCTCTGTTTTCTGCACAGGAGCCAGTGAATAACATATTGCTATACAAAGTAATAACATACAGGTTTTTTTTGTTACTTAATGTGCTCTGTTTTTTATTATTATTTGTGATAAAAAACAATACTGTATCTTCAATCTGAATTAAAACATTTTGCCTTCCTCCTAAATAATGTAACTTATATTTAGGGACTAGTGAATGCAGACCCTCTCTGTCTCTCTGCTGTAGGACGAGGCTCTGGTGGGCACTCCTCTCTCTCTGGTGAAGTTACCCATAGTGGATTGTTCTCTGTACTCTACCTGTGAGGTGTGTGCACCTGCCCGAGGTCTTGGCTGCATATGGAGGCACAAAGAGGGAGCTTGTGCTATAATAAAGTATGTCACATACAAACACTCATTCACACAAAAGCATATCAGAACACACAGATGCAGTCCTCCTTTGTTCATTGTCGTCACACAGTTACATTTATGTTTCAGGCCTGGTAAAGTTGAAGAAGCAGAAGATTTGGTCAGGCAATGCACCAAAGGTGAAGGTAAGTCTTCTGACAGTGGTACCTAATATCTATATTTCATACCTATGGCATGCTGTCGATCACGATAGACACTCATTTCATCTCTCAGTGTTTATAAATGAACTAGAAATAATCTTACAGTAAATACACCTACAATCGATTCAGGTGAGCAAACTGAAAGGTTTAAAAGCAGAAAACTTGTTGAAAATTTGCACAATGTATTTTGAGTGTTTAAAATGGAAAAAGTATCTTACATTGTAATATTGGGTAGACAATGATTTGTTATTAACTGAATGCAAAGTAGATATTTTCCAGATAATACTTTTTCATAATTTGCTTTGGTTAGGGCTATAAATACAAGCAAGATGTACATGTACATATAAAGCTGAAAATTCAGCTCTGCCATCCTTTTAAAATTCATTAAAATATAAAACAGTTATACATTTATGCAGTCACAATTTTACTATTTTATTGGATTTTTGATCAAATAAATGTAGACTTTCCTGTCATAAGTGGATCATTATATTGGGGGTCCTTGGCATTTACATGTTTTGATTGAAAATGAATTGCGAGATAATGAATTGTGATCTACTTTTCCTCTGTGTCTTTAGGTCTTTGCTCCCCACCTGTAATTGAAATGCGTGTTGAAAAGGGTCTGCGTGTCTTGCTTTCTTGCGTGCAAGTGTCTCCTCGTCCCTGCCGCTGGGACCGTCCTCCACATAGTCACACTCGCCGCCACAACTACGACCTGGAGGTGCAAGTCACGGCGGAGAGCGTGGGCACCTACGTGTGTCTATGTGATGAAGTGGGCAGAGATCAGCCACCCTGTCGCAGAGCAGAGTACCAGTTGACCCTTGACAACCCCAGCATGGGGGGGAACGTGGCCATTGCAGGTGGCCGACACTTCCTGGCCTCGCACATAATTTTTTTCGTTGTAGGTTTTGTATTGGGTGGCATCCTGCTGTTTATGATTTACAAACAGCAAGGCAGCATGAGAGGGGGCGGGCACTCATCATCCACATTGGAAAAGGGTCGGGACTTGCTTGCTTCTACAGACACACCACAGTCTCCAAGCAGTGCCAGTCTGTTGTCAGAGGCAGTTCCACTAACCGAGAAAAGGAATGGGACACTGAACGGTCACGGACACAATATGGACCCTGGCGGGTACAACGGCAGGCATATTTATGCCAACTCCAGTGGAATAAAACTGCAGGAATCAGCTGTGAACCTTGCAGAGGAGCTGGATGGTAGAGAAAGGGCGGGACCAGACGGGGAGGAGGAGGGATTTGGGGATGGGCTAAGTGAGATGGAGGAGGAGTTTTCTAAGATGCCTTGTCTAAGAGGAGCACCTCTGGCACAGTGTGAAGAAAGCTCTATCTGAAGTCCAGCACATGTGATTTTTGAGACTAAACTCTGTGAAAGGTTCACAAACACAGATGGAGGGCTAGAGGAGAAGAGGAAAGCAGACAATCCAAGAAACTGATACACATTCCAAATATACGATTAACATACGCAGTCGCACAAAGAAGCACACAAACAAATAAACTGCATTTGCTGGAGGCTCCTCTACTACTCCATTACATTACCGTCCAGTCCATTCACTCCTGTGTACATGCTGTGTAAATCCATTTCTATCCTAGTTTTTCTGCATGTATTTGATCAGACGAATGGGCACTTTTGTGTACCATCCTCAAAGCCATGCACACCCACATGGAAATACACAGTCTGTGCATCTGTGTGTGTGCAGTTCTGTAGTTGCTCAGTCTGTTTCCTCTTTGAGGATTCAAAGTCCAAAAGGTCTTTCAAAGGGGAATGACCCGTCCACAGCCCAGAGCAGCACAAAGTCAGGAAGAATCTGCTCATTCTGGGCCCATTACTGAAATAAAATATTTATTCAGGGATGGATTGTGGAGTCCCTGCCAGAGAAAGGGGCACAAAGGGGCCCTCAGAGCATACAGGAGGAGCTGACTCCCTGGCCCCTTTGGTGTAGGATATATGACAAAAATGACTGAAATAGACCACCATAGAGTTTGCCAAGGGGCCTCATGGGGCCATGTTTCGGTCCTGACCTATAGTACCCAATTTTGAATGAAGAGAGAAAATGAGTAACAAAACCAGTTAGCAAATTCTCCTGTAGGAGAGAGCATGTCAGACCTGTGAACTGATATTAGATAGTGAAAATTGGACTGTACCACTGCAATATAAGTTAGTCACATTCAGAGCAAGGGAGTTGTTCTTCTCTGAAATGGGGCTGGCAGTGTTTTGTGGTGTTACGAGTAGCAATCAAACCACTTCCATCTGTATAGGGACCAGATGTAGCATGTTCTGTTCATAATATTCTGGACAGACAAAGGACCACAAGATGATGGATGTCACTTTATTGTTTAGCATGGATGCTTATTGAAATTACAAGGAAATCGTCAAAATGGAAATGAAGAGTGAAGGATTTATAATTGATACATAATTATTGATTGGTTTGAGTTTCCCTTTAAGGACAGAGAATGTGCCTCATTTGAAGGTATATGTATTCCCAGTAAAGTGCATGATACAAAGTAGCCATGAATACAGAGTTAAAGATTTGTAATGCAATGATCATGGGCTACAGGTTAACCTAAAGCACTCCTAGTACAGAGAGTGTTCTGTTTGTTCCAGGAGTATGTAAATATATGTGAATATAAAAGAAAAAATGAGTAAGATCTTTAAAAATATGTTTTTTTTATTCTGTCTTTTCACCACTTGTTGGGTGGGGTCGGGGGGATGAGTTGGGCTCTTCCTAAGTGTCAAACAGTCCCTCTGCGAGCCTAAATGCTGGACCACATTTAAATGCCATTTCCTGCCTTTTTCCATTAGAATAACTTGGATATACTCCCATTCTCCATTTATTTATTTGGCAGTTTCTTTTTAAATAATTCTAACATTGTCAAAGTGAAAGTAACACTCTGGATTATGTACAGTATATCTTGTCTTCTAAATCTCTTTGTCAGCACTCAATAAAATAATGATAACAGGTACATTCAACTCCATAAACTCATTTACAAAATCCTGATCTTCTTTTGAGTTTATAGTGATAGTTTAAAATAAACCTTCAACCCTCTCAATGTACCATAGTAAATCTGCTGTAGTTAAACTTGTCCACATGGTTGTATGTTAATATTATTGCAAATAACGGATCATTTAGTGTTACATGCTCTTTGTTTTTCCTGAATAAAGAATTATGTTAATTAATGTACAGATATGTTGTATTCTAAGTTTCTATTTTTATAATTTATATATAATGAAGATAAATGTACATTGTGTTTCAAATGTTTATTGAAGGTGTTTGTGTGAATGGCTCTATGTGTGAATGTCTTGTGATGCTCTTTGGAATAAAATAAAAACTACCTCTCAAAACAGTGTTTTTAACCCTTTCATGCATGACTTATTATATCACAAATTAATATATTTTTTAATGTTTGTTTTTATTTGTAAACAAGTGAAAAATCATGCCAATAACCTTTTTTTTCAATATATTTTATTTTGAGGGCGTTACATATCTGTGCACTGTAGTGGACTCCATGCATCAACGGTATAAAAAGTGATTCAATAGAACTCACTGACTGGAAAAAAAAAAGTTCTTAAAACATTTACTACAGAAAATGGTATGAATACACATAAGAAGGCTAAAGAAGTCCGTCGAACGTTTTTCTTCAAAATTAACATTTTTATCAGACACATAGGCTGTATATGTTTCTATATAAGTACTGTACTTCTGAATGGGCTGAGGCTGGGATTTAGCTGGTTTGAAGTGAAAGTATTTGATGAAAGTATACTATGTGCAGAGAGCATTCACTCAATATTGTTATCTCGTTTTTGACAAATGTGGCTTAGAGGCTTTTGCATCGGATGTCTTGGAACAATAAATAACAACAATGGAGAGGACATTTGAATGTTCATTCAAACGTGAGCACAAATATACACACACAATCACACACACCCTCCCACCACACACTCGAATGCAATCATGCACACATATCCCTGCTGCACTTATACAGTAGCCTACATGCCTACATTTTTACATGACCTAATAAATAAATATAGACAGCAAGCATTGACATAAATTTAAAAATCTGAAGACTATTTAATATTTCTCTTAAATAAAACTATTAAAGTCTTAAAAATCTTCTTAAAATCCATTTTATAGCTCTTTATCGACCCCCAGGACAACTAGGTAACTTCGTGGAAGAATTAAATGTGCTGCTCTCAAACTTTCCTGAGGATGGTACTCCCCTAGTTATTCTTGGAGACTTCAACATCCACCTAGATAAACCTCAGGCTGCAGACTTCCACACTCTGATCTTCCGCACTCTGCTCTCATTAGAGTTACAAATGACCTGCTCTTATCATCTGATTGTGGTTGTATCTCTCTATTAGTGCTATTGGATCTTAGCGCTGCGTTTGACACTATTGACCACAACATTCTCTTGCATAGACTAGAAAACTTTGTTGGCATTAATGGAAGTGCATTAGCATGGTTCAAATCGTACTTATATGACCACCATCAATTCGTAGCAGTGAATGAAGAGGTATCATATCAATCACAAGTGCAGTATGGAGTACCTCAAGGCTAGGTACTAGGGCCGTTACTCTTCATGCTTTACATGTTACCCTTGGGAGATATCATCAGGAAACACTGTGTTAGCTTTCACTGTTATGCTGATGATACTCAGCTCTATATTTCTTCGCAGCCCGGCGAAACATACCAATTTGAAAAACTTGCGGAATGCATAGTCGATATAAAAAGCTGGATGATGAGTAATTTCTTACTGCTAAATTCTGAAAAAAACAGAGGTGTTAATTATAGGACCTAAAAACTCTGCATATAATAACCTAGAACACTCTCTAAGACTTGATGGCTGCTCTGTCAATTCTTCGTCATCAGCTAGGAACCTAGGTGTGCTAATTGATAGCAATCTTTCCTTAGAAAGCCACGTTTCTAGCATTTGTAAAACTGCATTTTTCCATCTCAAAAATATATCTAAATTACGACCTATTCTCTCAATGTCAAATGCAGAAATGTTAATCCATGCGTTTATGACCTCAAGGTTAGATTATTGTAATGCTTTATTGGGTGGTTGTTCTGCACGCTTAATAAACAAACTCCAGCTGGTCCAAAATGCAGCAGCTAGAGTTCTTACTAGAACCAGGAAGTATGACCATATTAGCCCGGTTCTGTCAACACTGCACTGGCTACCTATTAAACATCGTACAGATTTTAAAATCTTGCTTATTAATTATAAATTCCTGAATGGTTTAGCACCTCCGTATTTGAACAAACTCTTGTTACATTATAGTCCTCCACGTCCGCTGCTTTCTCAAAACTCTGGCCATTTGATAATACCTAGAATATCAAAATCAACACTAGCAGCAGATCCTTTTCCTATTTAGTGCCCTACACACGACACTGCTCCACTGATCATGTGCTGGTTACTCCACTGCACACCTCAGATCACTTCCTCCTCACTCTTAATCTCAACATGGTTCCTGACACAACACATACCCCTCCACATGTCACTTTTCGATGTAACCTATGCTCACTCTCACCCTCCCAGCTATCTGCTATGGTTTCATATTCGCTTCCACTCCCTGAACAGTTATCATCTCTTGATGTTAACAGTGCTACTGATACTTTCTGCTCCACTCTTACATCTTGTTTAGACAGTGTCTGCCCCTTGTCTTCCAGGCCAGCTCGTACCACCTCTTCTGCCCCTTGGCTATCCGATGTTCTCCGTGAGCATCGTTCTAAGCTCAGAGCTGCAGAAAGAGTATGGTGAAAATCACAAAATCCTACTGACCTTAATGTATATCGATTACTCCTCTCTTCATTCTCTGCTAATGTCTCCACTGCTAAAAAGACATACTATCACAACAAAATTAACAATTCGCCTAACTCTCGCATGCTCTTTAAAACATTTTCCTCCCTCCTTTGTCCTTCTCCTCCCCCTCCTTCATCAACTCTAACAGCTGACAACTTTGCCACATTCTTCATTAATACAATTACAAATCTCAGTGCACAATTTGCCACACCACAAACTGTCAAACACATCTTACCAGCAAACATACATTCGTTTTCATCCTTCTCTCCACTCTCTGAGGCAGACATCTTTAAACTCATCCTTTCCAATCATCCTACTACTTGCCCTCTTAATCCTATTCCATCTCATCTCCTTCAAGCCATTTCTCCTCCTGTTGTACCTGCACTCACTCACATCGTTAACACATCCATTCAAACTGGTGTTTTTCCCTCAACATTTAAACAGGCTCGTATAACCCCACTTCTTAAGAAACCCACTCTTAACCCAACTCTTTTAGAGAACTACAGACTTCTACTCTTCTACCTTTCATTGCACAAAAACGAGTTGTGGTCAACCAAGTCTCTGCCTTTCTCACACAGAACAACCTCCTGGACAGCAACCAATCTGGCTTCAGAAGTGGACATTCGACCGAGACTGCCTTGCTCTCGCTCATCAACCATAACTCCTTCAAAAACAGCTAGAAACCTTGGAGTTGTGATTGATGATAAGCTGAATTTCTCAGACCACATTGCTAAAACTGCCCAGTCCTGCAGATTTGCTTTATACAACATTAGGAAGATCGGACCCTTTCTTTCAGAACATGCAACACAACTCCTTGTTCAAGCTCTTGTTCTATCCAGGCTGGACTATTCCAATGCTCTCTTGGCAGGTCTTCCAGCCAGTTCTATCAAACCTATACAATTAATCCAAAATGCCGCTGCAAGATTAATCTTTAATGAGCTGAAAAGAAAGCACATCACACCTCTGTTCAATACTACAACTAACATAGTATATTTATATTAAACTGCACACATAACATATCTGCACACTAATAAACATATATGTACATTTATCTAAACTATTACATTTTTTCCCATACTTCTATTTCTGTATATAGTACATTATTCAATTTTTCTTTTTTTATTATGTTAGTGTTATATTACATCCCTACTGTGTTATTCCTATGTATGTCTGCACTATCATGTATGTCTGCACTATGTTTGTACTTTCTTCTACACTGGAATCTCCTGTCGTCAAGTCAAATTCCTTGTGTGTGTAAACATACTTGGTAATAAAGCTCTTCTGATTCTGATTCTGATTCTGATTCTGATTCTGTTCATCAATTTGCACTTGCTACCTGTAGCTGCTCGCATAAAATTCAAGGCATTAATGTTTGCCTACAAAACCACCACTGGCTCTGCACCCCTTTACCTAAATTCATTACTTCAAAGTCATGTGCCCTCTAGAAACTTGCATTCTGCAAGTGAACGGCGTATTATTGTGCCATCTTAAAGAGGCACAAAATCACATTCACTGACTTTTTCATTAACTGTTCATTAAATGACCTGCCCAACTCAATCCGAGCAGCTGAGTCCTTAGCCATCTTCAAAAAACGACTAAAAACACATCTGTTCCATCTTTATTTGACCCTCTAACTCTAGCACTTTCTATTCTATTTTAATTCTACTTTATCTATTTATCTTCTTTTTTTATTAGAAAAACACTAGCTTTATATTTTTTATATTGTATCTACTTGTCTTTCTTTGTGTGTGTGTATGTGTGTATATATATATATAAATACCTTGCTATGTGTTCTGCGTTAGGCTAACCGAGACTTGTCATTTTCACTTACATATTGTTGCTCTTTTGTTAGTTTTGATTGCTTCTTTTGTCCTCATTTGTAAGTCGCTTTGGATAAAAGCGTCTGCTAAATGACTAAATGTAAAGTGTAAATTATATCACAATTTTAACTAAAACATACAAAATCAGGGCCCATTAGGCATAATACCCTTTGGCGCATGACATCCACTGGAGTGGACAGATACATTTTCTGTCACAGAAAAAAAATATTGTTTTTTACAAGAAAAATATTGTTAAAATCTGGATAAAAATATTTCTGACATCCTAGCTGAAATATATTTTTTTGTACCTGTCTGGTTTTCTGAGAATAAAAGGATTTAACACTTATTCCTGAGGTAATTGGTGCATCTCCTCTTCTCTCCGCCTTTTTGAATATATGCGATATCTCAAAACAAAAAATAGATACAAATACAATAATTAAATGGAATCATAGACAGCGCTTTGAGGGTTCACCACTCGTGGTTGGGAGAGGGTACAACAACCTAAATGGTTCAAAATGGCTTCCAAACATCTGTTCACTGCAATGAACACCATGCATGAAAGGATTAATAATTTTTAAA